TTGTCTGTGTGAGGACAGGGGGGTCCCGATCCTGTTCTCAGACCAGTGCCCTTGGTGTGGGTGTATGTGTGGGTTTCCTTTGTTCCCGGTTACCGTGTAGCTCATCATTGAGGCTTGCGTGGAATTTGGAGTGGGATGCTGGCTCAGACCACATGATTTGGACGCGTCGCGAAGGCCAGCGAACGCATTTCTGCAAAGTCGACTACATTCAGAATTTTCTACAGCGCAGGACATCCCACTCCACTTCCACGCCGCTCTGTTCTGTCTGCAGCCATTGTTTTGTAGCTAGTAGACACCGAGGACAACAACTGCAGCCCGTTGAAGTAGTTCGCCTTTGTGCGCATGTGTGTGTCGCTCGGGGTCACAGGAGGTCAGGACAGCTGAGCGGCCGCCTCGTCTTGATGTAGCTCCATTCTCCTCAGATTAAGCCATTTAATGTTCTAAACAGTTCACACACTGATGCTAAATGTTTAGATATGGACCTAATGCAGCCGACACGGCCATCTGTCTGGAATTAGCAGCTGGAAATGTGCACTAGCTCAGAAGCAGTTATGTATCATGTCAGTGAATAGGGTTCATTATCCCTTATGGGTGGAAAACAAGGGTTGTGGGGCCAAAGATGTTGCTGGAGAGGATTTCTGGGAGGAAACTAACACATTTGGCCTCATATGTTTCAGGTTTACTCACAGGGCATGAGCCTAAGACTTGACCCCCCCGGTCCAATCTTAAATATTATGATTGGAGAGAGGACTTAAGTAATGCGACCCCAGTGTGGCATTATGTAATTAATGGTAGTGCAATCCCATTGTAACCCTCTTAAAGGAGACATCGCGCTCCTTTCCTGGTTCATTGTTGTATTTTGGATTTCTACTAGAACATTTATTGTTCAAAAAACTCTTTTATTTGTTCTCCTACTGTCCGTCTGAATGTACCCGTATTCACCTTTGGGCTGAAATGCTCAGTTTTTAGCGCGTTTCAATGGAATTGCGTCGCTAGGCAACAGCTGGGGCCCCTTATTTACTTCCTGCCAGCTGATTTCATTCCCATGCATGGCAACACTGGAAATGAACGGTGACAAAAGTGTGAAACGGTCTGTATCTTGTATAATTGTGACATCACAACGGTGCGGCCCATTTAAAGGCACAGTGCCTGAATACGGGCTCCATGTACTTTCACAGTATTCATATAGCACTTAGACCTGCTTTATGATTAAAAAAGACATAAAAATCTAGCTTTTAACAGTACGGGACCTTTAAATAATGTAAATCCGCTGTAGTTGAAGTGACAATGAACCTGCAAAACATTTGATTTCCAGCTGCTTAATGTCCAGAAAGCTGGAGTTGTGCCACAAAGCGCTGCGGTGCACTTGTGTGTAATTGTATGAATGTGAAGCAGCGGGTTGTAAAAATGAGGATTTCTCAGCAATATCCAAGTAGCATAAAACGATTATCGACGAATTCGACCATCCTACAGCTTCAGAACGGGCTAACTTATCATTTTCAACCCTCACCGGATGTGTTCCCTTGTAACAGCCAGCTCCCTCCATCAGTTTGTAATGGAATAATCTCATCTAATTAGGTTGATTGAAAAGCTGTAATAGCCTTAATGGGGTTAGATGTTTCAGTCGGGACTGATGCAGTAATTAGGGGCAAAAATTCAAGATAATATAGATCTGTTGCTACACAGCCTTCCAAATGGAGACGTACACAAAGTTCAGATTTCTTTATGATGGTCACACCTACCTCCAGTTTCTGTGGCGAGTAGGTGTAAAAACAAAAGTGTGTTCCTTCCCTGGTTGCTAGCTTGTCTACGCGTACCATTGACTGATGGTGCTAATGACGTACGGGCCGGGCGAGCGAGCAATAGAGCCAAAGAGAGAGAGAGAAGTGCAATATCACAGCTGTCTGGAGACTCGCAGGAGAAAGAGAAATGTTCCTCTGGCTGTGGCCGTGCAATCAGGATTTATCACTCTCTCGCACACACACACAGCAGCAGTGTTGGGTAGTTTGGAGCGGAGCAGTGAGATAGAACAGCCAGGCCAGATGTTTTAGTCTAGGGTGGGAAGAGCAGAACATCAGTCTGAAGTAGAAAGGACGGAATGGTAATTGGTCTTATTTCCTGGTTCATCGCTTAAGGTCACAAACAGTGGCGCGCTTGCTTTAGAGATTTTGGAGTATTTAGTGTAAAAACTTACATAGAGATCTATATATATGTCTCTTAGACAATACATTTGGTGCTAAAATCCTAAAAATCCTATCTTGATACAATGTAGCCATCAAAAAAAAGTTAGCCGGAGACGGTGTTTTAAACCAACCAATGGCCCTAATGATAGCTTAATAGCTTAACGTTAGCAGCTAGGTCTGAACCATCGACTGTATGTAAGAAGTGGACGTCGTCACCCATTGGTTTGTGGACTGCGGTTTTGAATCCTTGAGTTCGGCATTGTTTTGCCGTCGCCATCTTAGCTTTTTGCACCAGAAGGTGTACAACCGAAGGCTGAATAAGACAAATCAACTTTCATGAACTGATAACACTGTGAAGTACTGACACAATAACACAGACAACTCCCAGAACACCGTGGTAGCAACCTGTCAATCACAAGTTAGCCCCGCCCTAAAGCATACTGTGCTTTATGGTCTATTTGACTCTTAATGGACCATAATTTACTAAATGAACATGCTGTATTGAAGAAGACTTGAAACTAGATATTGAGACCATAAACTCATGTTTACAATTTTTACTGAGGGAATAAATCAAGAGAGAAGTAGAGTTAATCATTTTTCAGAACCGGAGGTTGCTTTTCAGAACCGGGAGGTTGCCGCCTGCTATGCTCACACTACGTACTGAGCTATTCCCCAAAGGAGCTACGCATTAGGGGCGACCGTGGCTCACTGGCTTAAGAGGGTTGTCTGGTAACCGCAGGGTCAACGGTTCGATCCTGGACTGGGACTGGGATGTGTCACGTGTCGTAGTGTCCCTGAGCAAGACACTGAACCCCCGGGCACCTGCCATTGGCAGCCCACCCATCCTTAAAAGAAAGGCAGTCTGAATTGCAGGTTTTGAACTGAAAACAGTGTTTACTCTCCATCTTGCTTGCACCAGCGTCCACCCCCTCTCCCAAAAGCTGCGACTGGTAACATGATTAAGCCAACTGTCCACATTCTGTAGCCTCAATGGTATTTTAACCCCCCCCCCCCCCACGCAACCGACGGGTGCGGCACGAATGTATTCTCGTCGTTTCCCCCTCGGGTTGTTTTGAGGGTGGCGGCCTGTTGCACTAGCTGTGTATGTGTTAATTTGGGATATTTAGATTTTTGTTTTTCTCACTTTCACCCCCTCTGGCCCTCCTCAGCTGCTCCGGCCATCTGTGCAAAGGCAAAACAGAGAACAGAGGGATGGCGGGAGAGGGGGGGAAGAAATCAAGGAGGGGCGGGGGGGATGTTTGTGAGAAAAGAAAGAAGGCCTTTTGACATGTGAGATTTGAGTTTAGAGGATGAGTAACGGATGACGGAAGAGGGAAGGAAAGATGAGGGAGAGCATTGGATGAGGGAATTGTTTCCAGGAAGCCAGCGGACATAAAGATGATGTGTGTGCCCTTGTAGAAGTAGGACAGTGTGCACGTTTAGGTCAGTGGAAACCGGGATGACAGGTGCTGTCTGGAGTCGGACCGAGCAGCGATCGGCCAACAGTGAGCTCATTTTACATCTTTGTTTATCGCGCTCCCTGTCTGTCTTCTGACCCACCTTCCCAGTCTGTTCCCATGCTCCACAGGCCAAGCCTCTTCCTCTCCCCCGGCCCCTGTGCTGCCTCAGAGTTTGTCTCACCACTCAGCCCCTCCCCCTCGCTCTGTTTGTAAACTATCAACAAGCCAGTTTCTTGCTACTCCCCCACTTCCCCCCCTCCAGCTTTTAAAAACCTATCCGTTTCCCCTTGTCCTTCCTTCTTAGCTGAGGAAACTAAATAAGAGACAGTTGTCTAATGTTGACGCAGACGACATGTGACAGCCTGTGTTACAGATGGTTGCCCTTTTTATCAGGCCTCATATGCTTCACGTCTCACTTCTTGTCCTCGGTTGCGCATGTCTACTTCAAACTTCTCTGTTTGCATCAAACTATCTGCCCGTCTTCGGGGTTCTATCGTGCACGCCTTCGACCCACTTAGCAAACGCATCCGAGCCGCGTTTCCCACCTCACCTTGCTTTTCTTTTTATAGCCGTTGTGGCCTAATAGTGTGAAGCCGGCTTTTTCACCCATGTGCAGATTCAATAAAGTTGCGTGTCTTAACGTTATTACAGGTGGCATGCGTGTCTGCGGTTAGCGTGCCGAAGCTTTTTGCCCCTTTCCCCTTAAGTGTATTATCCCGGAAAACTAGTCTTCCACACGAGTGACTCTGAAGCCATTTTGTTACCAATGAAGAAAAAAACACAACGGCAACACAAAGCCAACCCGTAGCGGCTACGCCGGCCAAGTGTGTCACTGAGCTTTTCAGCTTCACAGAGGGGACCGATTGCCGCTGCACTGCAGTCGGCATTGGAAATAATTGAGGCTATTTGCAGAATGTGGTTTTTTTTTTTGTTTTTTTTTCCTGCAGTAGACGTGGGCCTTCTGCCCATCCTGCCCATTGATGTGTTGATCTAGTTGTTCGACCTCCCAGTACAACTGATGAAGCTGTCATGTGTGATGTATGTCTTTCTCCGGGTGTGACATTGTCCCAGATAGGCTTCAGTCCTCTCTTGGGTTGATGCAGCGGCTCAATCTACACAATAACACAATTCTACTCTACTTCAGTTTCAGTTTTTCTGCTTACAGTTGGACAAAAATATATCTGTCTGTATGCGTGTGTGTGATGCTGAAGCGGTAAGAAGATACAAGCCATCACTTTATCTGATTCTCCAGGATTAACAGCATTCCTGGTGCTGTACTGATAGGAGAGACTGCTTCTCATGTCTGGTCTTGCTGTTGACTAACTGTACCGTACATTGTCCTCCTGTCTCTCTCCAGATCCTGACCTCCGGAAAGCCTGTAGACCCCGTGGCCATCCTGTGAGATTTGAGTCAGCCCCCACCCCCTCCCTGCCTTGCAGAGACGGACCGCCACCACTCAAGGAGAGATGAAACCGGATGGGGTTGCCACGGCGGCGCTGGAGCCCATGGAAACGTTGGAATCCAACCCAGTAAATGAGGCGGCTCCAGCAGCGGGACAGGAGCCCAACCAGGCGGCCAGTCCGGCGGAGGAGGAGATGCCACAGCAACCTGCAGCAGAGACGGGCCAGGTGGAGCCCAAGGCGGACCCGGCCAAGGAAACTCCGGCAGCCAAGACTGGCAACAAAACCTCAGGAGACCCCAAAGCCAAGACTGCCAACAAGGCCACGGCCAAGACGAAACCTGGCACCACGAGCCCAACCAAGACCACGCCTGGGTCCCGGCCCAACACTACCCAGAGCCGCCTCTCCAATGGCGTGTCCAAGCCCCAGACCAATGGGGTGGCGAAGAAAACCGCACCTGCTGCGGTGAAAAAGACCGCCCCGACCCCGGCTCCAGCTAAGAAACCAACGGGCACGGCCCCGGCCCCCAAGATCAAAGTGGGCGAGAAGAAACCCACAGGGGCAGCCAATGGCGCAAAGTCGATGACCGGAACGACAACGGCAGCCAAGAAGACAGCGCCCGCCACTGCTGTTGGTGTCAAAACCGGCACCGCTGCTGCTGCAGCTGTTAAAAAGCCCCCAGGTTGGTGAAAATGTCACCACAACACAGAGAAATTGCAAAGCGTAATTCAGAATGTAGGATGTGTGGGAATAAAAAACCCTCCACAGTAAAGCGTAGCATGACATGCTTTCACAGCTCTGCTGCTAGGAGTGTCCACTGAAATGTGGTGACATGCGGATACATGCACACTGGATGGATTCAGCACACACATTACACATGAGTGGCTGCTGGTAATCTACAAATGCATTTGTCCTACATCCTGATGACATGACCTACATCTGTGATATACATACTCCTCCAAACTATAGTATACTATGTTATATAGTACTGTTCTAATCTCATCTTCTGTCCTCTCCTCTCACCTCCTCTCCTTTCATCGCTCCTCTGTTATCATCTCATTTCCTCTCCTCTCCTCCTCTACTCTCCTGTTCTCTCTTCTCGTCTTCTCTCATCTTCTCTCCTTTCATCTCTCCTGTCCTCTTCTATCCTCTCCTCATCTTCTGTCCTCTCCTCTCCTTTCATCTCTCCTCTCCTCTGCTCCTCTTCTCTCATCCAGCTCCCAAGACCACCTCTGCAACTCCCACCAAGCCCAGCTCTACTGCCTCACCCAAGCCCCTTGTTTCCAAGGCAACCAGGTAGGTGTGACATTAGTGCAGAACTGAAGCCTCACCTTTGTCTGTGTGTGTGTCTGCGTATATGTCCGAGATTTCGGTCGCGAAAGAGACAAGCGCACCCCTTTTCTTAAAAGCCTTTCCACTGATTTGCCAGCAAATCGGCAAATTTGCTCCAGAACCGCAGCAACTCTGAGTAAATTGTCAAATAGATAAGAATTGCGGTTGACTAGGTTCCGCATTATAAATCGCTGCTCAGTGCCGAGTGAGACGCAACATGTTCAAAAAGGCGTCACTTGGCGACAGGTTCAAAGACGACCCTGTGTGAGAAAAGAAACACCCTGGAGGAGCGACGCACAATGATCCCCCTCATAGAGGCTTGGGAGGGCCGGGCATAAGTAGGCCAGCCACGAGCCAATGTCAGAACAAGCCTCAGAGCAACGCCTTATACAGCAGCATTATACATAAAACAAGTTTTGGGAAGCAGTGGGGGGTGTAGGAGGGGGGTCAGAAGAATTAACTGCAAACAAGGGAGTGCTCTTAATGTTTTGCGTTTCCCCAGAGAGAGCGTTTCTGTACACCAGCGTGTGTTGTGAGCGTGTTGCGCGAGTCGGCATGTGTTCCTCACCTGAGTCCGGAGGTGGCTTAGCGATAGACCGGGAGAGGGGACTGAAGGAGGCCTTTGTCTGAGACGGGGGAGATCGCGATCAGACCGAAGCCTTCGGGAGTGTGCCCGTACTTTTCAACAGGGGTTCATCCCGCCGCCTCCGCTGTTTGTTTTTCTGTTAGAGCAGTGGCCCTCTTTCTTCCTCCCTGTGACGCCACCGCGGTGTGCGTTGTGTCACCACGTCGGTATGTCTGTGTAGGGACTTTGTTCAGGCAGAAACACTTGCGTCAAACAGATCGGACTCCTCGTAGCAAACTTGTTGTCGCAAATAGAAACGACCACCCGAGGAAGATGCTTTTAAAGGGACATAGTTTGAGATTTCTGACACGTCAAATACAAAATGTAATGAATACTTTAAATGATGTGTTTATGTCACATATGATTAGTGACGTTGGCCTCAGAAATCTGACAGAACAGATGGCAGCACTGATTAAGTTATGGAATATACACACATGAAACAAAAGCCGAAGGATGCCATCAAAAAAGTATATTTCTTTATCTTCTTTTCTGTACAGTCATTGCCAACAGACTAACATGACGTACTAAGTTTGCAGCCACTTCCTTCCTCCTGACAACACGGTGTTGCACATGAAAATCCCTTAGGTCACCCTGAACACACACACACTCTCTCTCTCCACGTGCCGCGGGTAGCAGTTGGATTGTTGAGATTACACTCAGATTACGGTTTTATACAATGGTTGATGTGCAAACATCTAATTAAAAGGGATTACACAAGAGCATGATAGTAATCGCCACTGTGGTACAGAACGCGCATTGTTGCATGCCAGTATGAACCGGCGTGATTTCATTCTTAACTACCGACAAATTTAACAACTTCTCCGTGGAGCACGAAACGTCACCACCATTTAGTTCCTGTCAGGAACTTTTAACTGGTTATGAAGCTGTCTCAATTTATTACTAAAGCCTTTTATATGACCTACATAAGTGAAAGAGACCATCGGAGAGAAGATCGGCCATTTCTATGTAGTTACTCTTAATACCGACTGCTCGGATTCTGCGCAAAATCAGATAGAAACTCTTCCAGTCTGGAAGGGAGGCACGGGAGAACCAGAATCAGGACTGCACAGAGCAGACCATCAGGCCTCGCTGCAGTAAAATGAGAGGTTTTCTAAAGGGACTCTGATGAACGGAAACAGCACTGCTTTCGTCCGCAGGGACCGCCAAAATCAACGCAAAATGAAAGCGCCTTGTCGTGACTTTAAATATAGAATACCACACAGGAAAATCAGCGAAACAAATGAAGACAATTGGAGTGTTTTAACACTGATGGAGTTACTATAACTCATAACAATCATGGCATCAATCACTCCCGTCCTCTGCCTATATTTCAGACATGCTTTAGAGAAGTGAACCCAGTGAGTCCAAGTCGAGCACAAGAAGAGCTTGTATGGGTGCTATCAGTTGAGCCAGTGCACAGCTCGTGCTGCCATGTTACTAATAGAACACGCACCAAGTGAGAAGTGACCTGCCAGGCTTTCAGATAAAAAGGCTAATGAGCAAATTTGTCAAATTTGAGCTGAAATCCAGCCGAAGCTAATATTGTAATCGGGTTAAGATTGGATTAGAAGTGTTGGAGGCAGTGTTTTGTGTTGTTAGAGCGTGAGCTAGTCGTCGAGGATGTGTACATAGGAAGATCTATCCGCAGTAAGATCTACATATGAATCCCAGAGAGAGAGTTACGACCATTACTGACGATTGTTTCCTCTGACAGCGCCGCGTGCCCTTGCAGGCATACTTTGTTAAGTGCGCGCGTGTGCTCGTCAGCGTTTGTACATGTGATGCGCTTTGACAGGGCCATTAATATCTGCTTTAATTAGATTCTACCCTTTCCCAACCTCCCTTAATCCTTAATGCAGCCCCGCTTTCAGTGGTGGAGAAGTAGACGGGAAACGTAAACTGCCCCATCAGACACACCCTGCTTCAGCTACTGTTATCACACAAACACACACACACACACACATACACCAGGGGTGGGTCTCTCAATTTACTCTGTTTCTCTTAAGGCTCAGTTGATTTAGTTCCATCTTCAGCAGGTTCCAGTTATCAGACAAATAAAAACTGCGGAGCGGATGCAGGTTCCGCTAAGTGACATCAATCTCATTTAAGGCCTCTCAAGTGTTTTGTCCCTCTCATTCAGCAGGAGGTTTTATCGAAATTAAATTAGGTTTTCTTAGTTGTTTATGCCAGTGACTCTTTATTATGGCTTGTTCCTTGTCTGTTTTTATTTCTGACATGCACAGCCAACCTTTTTTTTGTAACAGACTTAACTGGCCTATATATTTATTTATACGTATATATTTATTATACATTTATAAAAGTTATTTTTATATATAAAAATAACTTTTTAGTCCTACACAGGCGGCAACCTCCATGTCTAAAAAGTGAAGCCAATGCGGAAGTGTCTTAAACTTGCATTCTCTCTACTGGCCAGCAGGGGGCGACTCCTCTGGTTGCGCGTCTGATTGTATAGAAGTCTATGAGAAAATGACTACTTCTCTCTTGATTTATTACTTCAGTAAACATGAGTTCATGGTCTCAATCTCTAGTTTTCAAGTATTCTTCATTACAGCATGATCATTTAGTAAATTATGGTCCATTTAGAGTCAAATAGACAAATAGCCGAGTATGCTTTAAGGCGGGGCTACTTTGTGATTGATAGGTCGCTACCAGAGCCGTATACAGCGTCAATCCTCCGCAGTCCAAATATTTCCACTTCCCTTCACTGGTTGCAAAAAACCAAGATGGCGACGGCTAAAATGCCAAACTCAAGGCTTCAAAATGGCAGTCCAGAAACCAATGGGTGACGTCACGACGACAACATCCACTTCTTATTTACAGTCTACAATCATACACTTTGAGTTGTAAGAAAGGTCACTTTTCCTGTATATGTGAGTCTAATTGTCACAACATTTCACCTGTAGCTCGTGTTCATGGTGATGTACCGTTCATGCCTCATGGGACAATCCCGTGAAGTGAAGTGTGTTCATCTGTGTGCGCGCACCGGCTGTTTGAGGCTGATTGCCTGCAGCGCACCGCTTGCGAAGGGAAAGCACAAACCATTACGGGACGCTAGAACGTCATGTCTTTCTGGGCCGCTGTGTAAGCTGACAGTTTATGCGTCAGTTTGTGCGCATGACCAATTTTTGTCTCCCATGGTTAGCCGCACAGGCGATTCGTTGTCCAGTTGTTGATGACTGAGGACTGGTGTGCAGCATGCAAACACTACATGGGTGCCTCAGTGTATATATGGACGCCTGCATAGTAGGAGCAGCATGATATTAGGATGCAGAGCATGTGTTCATTCGCCGGCGTATCACTGCCGGTGAAGGGGGAAGGGAGGCATGTACGCGCCAGCTCGTCCAAAACACGTGGCGGCGCTCGCACGTGTCCCGTCGAGCTGCTCTGCCGTCTGCCGATGCCGTAGAGGGAAGCAAAATAAAAAATTTAAAATGGTGGCGGCGGTGTATGGAAGCTACGCGGCTGAATAAGTCATGCGTCCCCGCTGAGCTCCCGTCACTGCTGCCAGAGATGCATACAGAGTGCGAGGGCTGTGCATGCAGAGAGCTGGAGTCGTGTGTGTGTGTGTGTGTGTGTGTGTGTGTGTGTGTGTGTG